AAGAAAAACACAATTTTCAAAACTTTTCTCCTAACTTTGCAGCTTTTCATTAATCTCAGTTTTCTTGTATGTAGCCATGGCTATCTAAGAAAATCTGTAGACCAGATAGCATGAGGATGGTAATGAAAAAAAACATCATATAAGCATAATATCTATTTCTAATAAGTGTGCTGAATGAATGCGATTTGATTGCATGAAGGCTTATTGTAACGATCTTGTTTCAATTTAAAACACATCTCTGTGCAGGTTTGAAAAGGTCGAGGATCAACATTATTATAGTCACTCTGAAGAGTGTGGATGTGGGATGTTGTTGAAGAGAAAATGCGCACGGACTACCACACCCTGATCCACACCTTACCGAATACAACTAGCTGAATATGAGTTTATCTGTATACTTTTAGTTCTCTGATTGATATTGCACAAAATATGTAAAGTGATTGTACATATTTTCGTTTTATTATTTACATCAATCTCTGTTAAGAAGATACTATATATTGGAAAAATAAACATACGTTGAAAAGTAATAGAATCGTTTTTACCGTTATGTCTTTACATGTTATTCAAGTCTCTCCTGTTCAAAAAAAGTTGATTTTCATGAAAAGCATGAAGATTGAGATAAATGCATAGAAACATAGTTCGAAGTCTTTTCTGTCGAAAATGACATAACATTTTATTTGGCACTTCGTTTTTTTCGTAAAATTTCTCTCATTTTCTGCTTTGCGCATCCCGGAATTTTCGAAGGAACTTCATTGTAACTAATGAATTTGTCTTTGGTTTGAAACAGTATGTAAAAATTCAGGGAATGATAGAGCCTTTCTTAAATTAATCTTTGTCATTATCAAATAAGAGAGTACTTTTATAACAAGAGCGCCATTTTTTGGAGTATTTCGAGACATTGAACTTTGCCATGCCTCTATTGCCCTTAAAAAGTAAGAATTGTAAAAAAAAACCAAGACTCTGCCATGCCGTGTAACCTGAATGCTCAACGAAAAAAACAATTGTATACGTTTAGACTTTCTTGTATTCTAGAATTACGAACATTATGCTAGATGAACCCTATAGTATTTTACCAAGATGAAACTCTTCCACATTTTAGCCGTGAAGTCTGTAATTTTTAAAGAACATCTCTCCAAACAAGTGCAATAGGTCAGTTGACCTGATGTGACTCGATGATTTTTCTTAGAAACATTTTTGCGAGACATCGGTTAAAGATCTCATTAAGTTGGATATGAAAATCTATAATAAGGTCAAAAAAAATTTCAAAAGAAAAATTTGCTTAATGTTCTTACAGATACGTTGCAAATGGGAAGTTTTTGAAATGAAACTAGAAAAATCTCAAGTAAATCGCTTGAACAGTTAAAGAGATAATCACGTTTCTTTTTCGAGCGAACTTTTCGAAACACCCTGTATAAGAATAAGCAAATCAGCAAAGAAATGAACGAAGTTCATAATACTTTTCTCATTTGTTAAACAGAAAAGAAACAAGTAGATGCACATATGTACGAGTGAATTGCAACTTTTATAGTGCACGGTAATAGTTTTCAAACACCTTATTCTTTTTTTCGTGGAGATATAAGATACTTCACCAGAAATACACTATTGACAATACAAAGATCAGCACTGATTCACTGAAGCTCAACCTAATAAAGGTACTTTATATTTGTTTCAAAGAAGAAGTTCCTTCTATCAACTTGTTTTCCGCCAAACACTTCAAGAATTTTTTATTTCTATATAATTTGATAGCGCATTGATTACCCATGTAATCACGAAACGCAAGATCGATGCGTTGAAACGCGGTTTCACAACAAAACGCGTCTAGACGCAGTTAAAAACGGTTTCACAACGCATTCAAATGCATTTTTAATATGAAACGCGTTGAGACGCAGTTAGAAAACTTTTGAAACGCGTCTGAACGCAGTTTTTGTATGCAACGTGTTGAAACGCAATTGTAAAAAAACTATGAACCGCGTCTCAACGCGTTTCATATTGAAATCGCGTTTGTACGTGTTAAATAAGAGTTTGACTGAACGCGTTCAAACATGGTGTAATATGAGAAGCGTTGAGACGCAGTTAGAAAAAATTTTGAAACGCGTCTGGACGCAGGTTTTCTATACAAGGCGTTTAAACGCAATCAGAAAAAAATGAACCGCGTTTCGACACGTTTCTGAAAAAAATTTAATGCGTTTAAAAAATTTTGTTTACGAACTGCGTTCAAACGTGTCTTAAATATGTTTTTCGCTCGCGTTAGGACGCAATCATATTTTCGAGTGCCTTTGAAAGTGTTTATTTTTTGTGTATCGGACGCGATTTTACCCAAAAATTGCTGCTCTAGAAGAGTTAACTGCATAATCAAAATCATCAGCTTACATGTATTTTATTCATCTAAACTTCATTAGACTTCTAATAAAGAATGTTGAGATGACGTTAAAATAGACAAAATTCAATTAAACATACGGTGAACAGTCCATATTTTTCTAAAGTTTGTAAGAAAAATAGTCAGATAATATTGTAATAGTTTCCAGCTATGCAATGCCCTTTCAGAATATTGTTAAATACTACTATTTAAATAATATTATTAGTAACTTTTCATCATATATTTCTACTAAATTGGTTGTCAATAATTATCTATTCATTAAATTTTTCGATAAAATTATTTATCATATTACCAGTGCAATAAAAAAGATCGTAATATTTTTTATGTGTAGTAGATGATAAAAAAAAAGATGTTATTTTATTAAAAAAATTAAAAACTTATTTAAAAAAATAACTAAAAAGTCATCTTACGTGTTAAGACTCTTGAATTCGAAAAAAATACATCTTGTTAAAATAAAGTATTTAACCGATGAAATTCGTCTTCAAATATATTTTATTTTGAATAAGACAAGATTTCGAGTTAGTATAACTCAGCGGTATGTATGAACGACTTCTATAATCACTGGTTCATCTGTTCAAATCTGATCGTCGTCACTTAAGGTAAAATCTAATCCATTTGCCAGGGAAGACTAAGACCATCAAAAAATATTGATGGTGGCAACTCAGTTCGAATCTGAAATGGATTATCATATTTTTTTCAAAATTTTTAGTTTTTTTATGAAACGCGTCCAGACGCATTAAATGTTTCATCTGAGACGCGTTTTCGCTAAAAATGCGTTTGAACGCAAGTCAAGCTAGAAGCGCATTCACACGCGTTTCTAAAATAAATCGCGTTTAAACGCTTCGTTTGTTTCACTGGGGACGCGTTCAAACGCGTTCACTCTTAGCGTTTCGCACGCAAATGAAACGCGTTTCAGACGCGTTTTGAGGCAAAAAATATTTACATGGGTAGTCTATCTAACGGTATAGTTTTCTTTTGATTTATTTCATATCTTGACGAGGAAAATAATGTTACATAAAATATAGTATGAAGCTATTTCGAATAGTGAGAGAAAAATAGATTTTACTGCTGAAATTTTAGACGTCTTATTTATCAATAAAATCAAAAATTGTTGCTCTATTCAGTCATATATTAATGGACAAAGATTGTGATAATTGCAAGACTAAAAGCTACTTGATCAGAAGAAATACTTCAATTTTTTACATCAATTGTTCGAGGAGAAAACCAAGACAATATACAGAGAAAAAAAAGATTTTTTCCTTCATTTCTCAAAATTCATCTAGTTTCTTATCAAGATATGAAACAAATAACCCTCATCGGCAGGACTGACTTAACCTTCGACTGAATTCAATCTTGTTATCATTTTCTCTGTTCTACTTTAGCAATTATTGTGCAATACATGCACAGGCGAAAATCTATCTATAGTATTTTCAGTGACGACTATTTTGTAAAAGAGTTTTACTTAATCAAGCATCTCGCCGTGCATTGTCATGATTGAATTAAATCCATGCGCTAATTCTCTTACAACGTAGACCGAGCATGTGTGTTCTTCCTCTCAAATTGACCATAAATCTTTTGCTCGATGTTTCCTTGACTCCGGTGTTCTTTTGACCCTGATACATAGAAACTTATTTTATTTCATATGATCCCCTTAAGTCGCAAAAATATCGTTATTTTCTCAAAAACCCTTTCGTGAACCCCAAAAATTCAACTCAAAATTTTGAGAAACTGACTTTCATCAACCGTTATGAAAAGAAATTCACCTTTGATGTTTTTTTTTTGATCCTGCCACAAACAGACCAACAGACAAACTCTTTTCATTTCTTTTCACATCAGCCTCCCTACAATCGAGGGAACAAAAAAACATACGTTTACACAGCATAGCTTTTAAATTTATATAACTGATCATCGTGGTGGTCTCCTCGATAATCTCAAACAAACACCATAAAAAAAACAACGATTTGAACTTGAATGACGTTTAAAAATGCTTGCCGAAAAATAAGGCAGCCATTCTCTGAACCGTGATCAGCTCTATTCTGAAGTAAGAAGGATTATTTGGTGCACTCTGTGATACATTATTGACTGAAATGATATTCCACATTGTGATCCTCGAATTCACTAATCTTCAGGAATTATTGATGCACCCGGGTTCTCTACTCTCAACAACATTAAGTCAACCTTTATGAAAAATCATAATTTTCTTAAAGAATCATTTCTTCAGTGAAAAAAATCCTTTCGAAATTTTCCAAAAAATCCAATGCCACCAATCAATTCCTCGACGCCGAAAACCTTTAGTCGAAGTTGACAAGAAATCATTGTTTTCCTCGAAAACGGGTTCAAAAAAGTGAGCTCCACATGTAAACTCCGAACATGGAGCTCACTTACCCATCCACCATTTCCCAATAAGACATAATCCATATTTTCTGGTTTATCGCAGTAAGATCGCATTCCACTGAGATACTAGCTCGCGAGTTATAACTAATGTTCACTAGATATATAACCTTGGATCTTATGGATCAACTTGGATGCTAGTAGCATCACCTAGGATACTATCAACATTTCAGGTGATGCTACTAGCACTTCAAGTGGCGCTAATAGCCTTCCAAGTGATGCTACTAGCATCCCAGTTGATGCTCTCAGCATCACAAGTGATGCTACTAGCATCCCAAGTGTTACTCGTAGCATCTCAGTTGATGCACCTAGCATCCAAGTTAATGCTCCTTGCATCGCAATTGATGGTCCTAGCGTCCCAGTTGATGCTCCTAGCATACCAATTGATGCTGGTCCCATCCCAGGTGATGCTACTGCCATTCGAGGTGGATCCTAGAATGAGATCCTAATTTTTAGTTTACGTAGTTTGAAGCACAGTTTTTTTTTGAGCTAAAACAAGCCATTTCTCACTAAAACATCTATCTGAAAGTTTTCAAAAACCAATGGTACCAATCGATTCATCAACCCCATAAAACTTTTTGTCAAGCTCTATCGGAGTAGCTGTAGAAAAGAAGTGAGTATTATCGTTTCAGACAATGTTTTTTTTCACTGTGACACATATACACATACTGGAAGATTTTATTTGAGATAACCCTCCTTTCAGTCTAGAGAATAAGTCAAAAGGAAACTATACCGTTGGCTAGAGTAATCAATGCCCTTGAAAATGATATAGAAAGAAAAAATTGTCGAAGTTTTCAAGGAACACAGAAAATTGATGAGCATTAGAAGGGAAACAGAGAAACAAGAAAGACTTCAAACTCAACAAAAAGAACTATTCATTGTCTTTCTTTCTTTGGTTTCATGTTTGCAAAATTTTGTGTTCTTTACACTTATGAACTCGTATATAGAAATCTCCTTAGAATTTTGAAAGCTTAACATTTCAGATATTAGAAATGATTGTTGACACAAAAGAATTCTTACAAAGTCTTTTGCTTAAAGACTAAGTTACGAAAAGTACTTTCTCGTGCATGAGAGACAAAAATCTCTTCGACAATGACGATTCATTTTCTTTGTTCATTGTAGTTATTCCCAATATTCAAATCGATGCTCGATGGTCACAAAAGGGAAAGACGGTTGCTGGAGGTAAGGGAGAAGGCAAAGCTGAAAACCCACTCAACTGGCCTCAAGGTCTCTTCGTTGATGATGATCAAACGATGATCATTACTGACTTCTGGAATGATCGTATCGTCCAATGGAAGATGGGTGATACGACTGGACAAGTTGTAGCTGGTGGCAAGGGCGAAGGAAATCGATTGAATCAATTGAATGGTCCAACCGATGTGCTGATCGACAAAGAGACTGATTGTCTCATTATCTGCGATTGGTGTAATCAACGAGTCGTACGATGGTCTCGTCGTAGTGACACAACTCAAAAAGAAATCCTCATTGACAACATCGATTGTTGGGGATTGTTCATGGATGATCAGAGATATCTCTACGTCTCTGACGACGAACATGTAAGACGATATCAAATAGGAGACAAGAATGGAATCATCGTGGCTGGTGGAAATGGCAAAGGTGCTGGTCTCAATCAACTCAAAGAACCAACCTACATCTTTGTCGATCAACAACAGACTGTCTACGTGTCAGACAGCAACAATCATCGTGTAATGAAATGGAATAAAGGTGCAAAAGAAGGCATTGTCGTCGCTGGAGGTCACGGTCAAGGGAATGCTCTGACACAATTGTCGAATCCTACAGGAGTATTCGTCGATACGTTGGGTACCATCTATGTGGCAGACTCGGGGAACAATCGAGTGATGCGTTGGCCTAAAGGAGCGAAAAAGGGCACTGTTATTGTGGGTGGAAATGGTTACGGAGAAGAAGCAAATCAGTTCAACGATCCCATGGGTTTGTCCTTCGATCGACAACGCAATCTTTATGTTGTCGATAAGGAGAACAATCGTGTTCAATTTTTTTCAATTCAATAAAATGCATTCGAATCGAAAAAAAACTTTTCTTATTTCTATTCGCACGCGCGCGACCAGGAACCATTCTGGTGGCGCTGTGGCGAGCGTAAAGCTCGTACACGCGCGGGAAAACTCACATCATCCATATGCACCCATCCGGTGACATATGTCAGTGAGCCTGGGGCCCGACCGTGTTGCCACAGACACCAAGACAGTTCCTGGCCGGTGTTTAAGGTCTATCCGGAAGACCTGATATAGTACGAGAGACCTCAACCTAACTTATTCTCCTCTCAACTCAAACTCAATCTCAATAGGGTGAAAAAAAAATTACTCACCCTTTCTTGACGATATTGATGGCTGAAACGAAAAAAAAAGAAAATTAATCCATAGAGAAAGACAATTAGTGAAAAAAGGATACATACATTGTATTTTATTGTTTTCATATTGACTTGATTTAATTTTGAGTTGTTGAAACCAATACCTTAAATATAAAAAGATCAATCGAAGTCTTACTACCTTCGAAATGATCTTTAAGAAAAACAGACAAAAAAAATTGAAAATTAATACCCACATTCTTAGTTTTGTTTGTATTGTATTGATATTGAATTGATTAATTTTGAATCTTGGAGAAGTAACCTAAAATATAAAAGAGAAAAGGTTAGAATATGATTCAAATAACTGAATGATTTTTTAGTTCAAAATCATTCATTTTTATAGGGTGGGTGTGGGTGTGGGTGTGGGTGTGTGGGTGTGGGTGTGGGTGTGGGTGTGGGTGTGGGTGTGGGTG